TTACGTGTATTTTTTATGAGAGAAAATATTGTAACGAATCACGAACTATGATTCAAATCATGAAACGAATCTAGGTACCAAACATCCCCTCAGTCTCTCTACAATATCACTACCAAGTGGACCAATAGGAAAGAAGATGGAGCTGACTAGGAAAAACGCTATCCCTCACTTCCAATATTTAATAGTTAATACGTGCAATCTTTCTTTTCCTTATCCCAAAAATAGAAACAAAAAAAATAAAAGTTAAGAAATCTGACATATTATTATGGTTTCGTATAAAGACTGAAGAGGACACGTGTCAAGAACCCATCTATTTTGTGACTTGTGGAAACGAGGAGGAGGTTGAGATTTTAAGAACTGGTCCAAAACCACAGAGGCCTTTGGTAAAATCATAAAATTTTACCCGGACAATAATGCCCTTTTACTGGATGGTCCGGTTTTGTGGTCAGAAAACTTGCGAACATGTACATATATATACATGTGGAATAAGGGGTTTAAGCCACTGTTTCTTTTTTTCTTAATTTTTTTCGCCTGTGGTTTTTGTATATATAGATTTAGTGGTGGGGTTTTGTTTTGGCATTGTCATCTTCATCAGAAACTCTAAACAAATAAAAAAAAATGGAGAGAAAAATGAAGAGAGATTCTTTTCAATTCTGAATTCCGAGTTCTTTCATGGCAGATCCGTTCGCACATTCGTCAGGAAAACGATCTTTCGCTTGAAAATTTGGTATCTGAACGAAATAACAAGGACGCATTTTCTTTTTCCATTTTAAGGTTAGTAAATCGAGCTTTTTTGAGTTTTTGGTCGTTGAATTGTGGTTTTTTCGTTCGTGATCTTGCTGTTTGCTCCTGTTCGGTGTCGTGGATTGCAAATTGCGGTTGGATTGTCGCGAATTTGGCTGGTTTTTGCTTGATCGTTGAGTTTTTATTTAAATTTTTGGGTATTGCGTGCGTTGGAATTGTTTTGAATTTTGAAAATTCCGATCGAGATCGTGATCCGATCGTGGAAATTCGTCCGTGTTTGTTGGGTAAATTTGGATATGATTTCGAAATTTGTAATTCTTTTCGCTATTTGGAATATTGGTCAGTTTTGGCACGCAGTTACTAATAAATTGATCTGTCGTATTCGGAATTCGTTTACAGTTTTGAATTCATTGGTCAAATTTATGGAGATTGGTCCTTGAATTATATCTTCTTATGCTGAATTATGCCTGATTTGGAATTCCAATTATGCATGTAATTCACTCGATCAGTTTTTTTTCCCCTTCTGGCTTCGAGTTTTGTAGAAATATAAATCAATTAAAGCCGCTAGATATGTAATTATGGCCTTGACTTTATCCTAATTTGACGGTCCGGTTTGGATTAATTGGCGATTTAATTGCTTAAATTTCTTTCCTCTCTAAATCAACTTCTGAGCAGGGCTTTGGGTCTGAAATTTGGGTATTGGAAAACGGTTTCTTTTGAAGAAAGGAATCTTGAGGTTGAATTTTGCTTTATCGCCTTTCCTGATTCGATGTTTAAGCATAATCTATCCAGTAATTTCATTTTTCTTTTTCTTTTTTCAGAATCATGGTCGTTTCCCTTTTGAGCTTAAGATTGTCTCCGTTTTCTAAGTCAATAGTTCGGGATATTTTCCCTATATTGCGATCGCAGGGATTTGAAGCCGTTGTAATTCTTGCTTCATTTATTTATTTATTTATTTATTTTTGTTTAGTTATAGGTTTCATAGATCGCATTAAGGAGAAGAACGTACTCCGCAATTTGGCTTGAATGCTGAAAATTTTTCGTAGTGCTTGTGTTAAAGTGGTGTGATTTATATAAATTAGTTGGATGTTGTTCTATTGTTAAGATTGTTTTCTTGTAAAGCAAGCATAATTATCAGGTGAACAGTGAACTACATTGTTGCATTTTCTCTTACACTCTTTTTCCTTCTTCTTTTCTTATCTGATAACAGAGGAGAGAATGCAAATATAACTGTTGGATGAATCCTTATTGCCATGCCTAAGATATGGTGTTGAAGAAAAGGCTAGAATACGGATTCAATGGCTTTCAGGTCCCTACCATACCTAGAGCTCCCAGATCAGCTAGGGTAAGTTCGTCGTTTTTAATTTGTAATTTGTAATTTGTAATTTCTAATTTTGAACTTTGAACATTTTGAAATTTTGGAGATGAAAATATGATTTACTTGTTGAATCATGATTATGGTTTCAGAGGGGCTCAAATAAGAAGAAAGCAGATGACAGTCAAATATGTGCATTTGAATTACTGGCTTCTTTAGCTGGACAGTTATTGCAGGAGTGTGAAAGTGCTTCTTCTGCCTCTAGTAATGCTTCTGAAGGAAATAATCAGCCTGCTTTTGGTAAAGATGTTATCACGCAGGAGAGACAAGATGGAGATAAGCTATTGAAAGAAGAGTGCTTTGAACAGGGAAGCTCAGAAGAGAGTGCTTTTGTATCTGAGATCAACTCACCAGACATTGATCAGAAGTTTATTCTGAAAGAGTCCCCAAATGCCATTTCAGAGCACATTTCAAACAAATGTGACTTCTTAGATAAAGTCAATGGTGATGTCAAATCTATAATTTGCAATACTAAGCCCAGGTTTCAGAATTATCCCTCTAAAGTAGAGGGAGACTGCCCTCTTATTGAGGAGTCTTGTGATGCTAATATAGGGACTGGAATTGAAGGACAGCAGAAGGGTGAGAATTTAGAGACTGCTGGCTTGACTATGGCTAACAAATGCAGCTCCAATGACCCAATGGAGCTGCAAGTGGAATTCCCGGCAGTGGTCAATTCGGACAATGATGTCAAATTACCGTTGCCTAGGGAACCTGTTCCTAGTGCTTCTTTTTCCAGGCATAGGAATAACATTAAGTTAGTTGGTAGAGATGATGAAGAAAACTTTTCTAGATGCAATAAGCCCAGCAATAACATTAGGGCTTATAAGCCTCCATCACGTATTGGAGACCGTAGAATAAGGAAGTTGCTGACGTCCAAGTACTGGAAAGTGGGCCCAAATTTAAAGTATTGTGAAGTTCTTAAATCTGGTAAGTTGCTGCAATCTTTGATGTTGGTATGCCGTATTCAGTCCAATCCTATAACAGTGGTGTGGTGTCACGTCTTTCTGTGCATGTATGACAAAAATATATGATTATCTTTTAATAACATAAGTTTCTGAATTTGGCATTTGTAGATGAGGGAATGAAAGCTCTATATAACAAGAGAAAAAGCTGTTACAACCGCGACAGATGTCAGCATGACACTGTTTATAAGAGGAGGAAGTTATTCGACCGAAGCTCAATGGTGTTGTCCGATGGAGGGTTCAGTAGTGAAAGTGTTTCTAATTCTCCAGAGAATGGCAGAAAGGGAGATACAAGTTGCTCTAATGGAACGATACATGGAGGTCCTTCTCTACCTGATTACGTTATTTTTGGTTTTTTTAAATCTGTGAGGGAAGAAAAAAAAAAGTAATCTTTTTAGGTAGTTTGCTAAATGATTCTACTTTCATGCAGCAAATGGGGTATCATCTTCAGTCATTAGTCGCCAAGCATCTTTCAACTCTAAGGATGCTCATGGTACTTGAAACTTGACGTTTCTGGATACATTTCACAGTTTCTATTCTACTTCTTGTGGCATCGAATAGGTTTTTATGGTGCATTGTATTTACTTGTGCAGTGAAATTTAGTATCAAATCCTTCAAGATACCCGAACTTTATATCGAGGTCCCAGAAACTGCAACAGTTGGTTCTCTGAAGGTACCAGTGTACTTTGACCCTTCTAATTTTGGCAATTATGTTCTTTGCATTCCTTGTTTGTTCTAGATGTTGTCGTTGAATCTTAATTTTCTCACAGTCCACAGAAGAGGGCCGTCTACTTTATTTTTTTGTAGTATCGTGGTGAATGTCTCGTCACTGATTAAATGCCATATTTTTATTCCATTTTTGTTTTCTTTTACCATGACCTTTTGGAAGATTGTTGTTCACTAGACGAGTTATTTGAAGGGCTTTGTTTCCAAAGTTGTTGCCTGTTGTTGGTTGCTTCTGTTTTTCTTTCCCTATCTATTTATTTTTATTTTTTTCTGGCCTTCTAAATGTGCTCTTTTTTTTTTCCCCCTTTTGCAGAGGACAGTTATGGAGGCAGTTACCGCTATTCTTGGAGGTGGGTTACATGTTGGGGTCCTTTTTGAAGGGAAAAAGATTAGAGATGACAACAGAACTCTTCTACAGACAGGTCTTTCTTTTAAAGATAACATCGATGCTCTGGGCTTTACATTGGAGCCCAATATTATGCAAGCTTTTCCAGCTCTATGTTCTGAAGATCAACGTCCTTCATTGTCATGTGATACACCTGAACCATTAGCTAGGTAGTTCTGGCCGGTCTTTTGCTAAATGATTGGAATTTTTAATGGATAGTAGTTAACTTCTGAAGATTCAGATTTCTATGTCTTGAATCTTGGGTAGCGGCACTTGATGTCATTTGTCTTAATTACAAGATCTTAACATCACATCACTTTCTTTCCAGGTCTCCAGTTACCCCTGTAGTAGACACAGAGATTTCCGATGCCTTACCTGAACTCCCTCCTTCCGTTACCAATACAGAAACTCATGCTCTGAATAATCATGAAACTGTTTGCTCCCAGACTGATGTATTGACTGACAGCACAATGCCAGATTCTCGAGCTCTAGTTGTGGTTCCTCCAGTGAGTGTGGAAGCACTTGCTGTTGTTCCTGTGAACCCCGAGAATAAGAAATCTGAGCTTGTGCAGCGGCGAACCAGGAGACCATTCTCTGTGTCGGAAGTAGAAGCATTAGTTCAGGCAGTCGAGGAACTTGGAACAGGAAGGTTGGTACTTTATCCTTCACCGCTTAGTTAGCTTCCCTCAAGAGCGGAGAGATGCCTTCTTATTTTCAGAGGATAAACATGGTTTTAATGATGGCTCATTGCTTTAGGTGGCGTGATGTTAAATTGCGTGCTTTCGAGGATGCAGATCATCGAACTTATGTGGACTTAAAGGTAAGCTGTTGTCTACCTACCGTTTTGTTTCTCTTTCTTATTTGAAGATTGCACATACCATTGTACAGAAGTCGCTGCCACTGCAAATATATACCTGAGTTGATTATATCATGGAAAACGCAGAAGTGCATCTTTCTGTTTTGGGTTATTCTTGTCGGTTGTACTTTATATACAAGTCCATGCAAACTTGTTAAGTAATTTGGTGATGGATCGTGGTTCATGGGTTAGAACTTCTTGGCCTGATATTGTTTTGTGGGTGTGTGTAGGATAAATGGAAAACATTGGTTCATACAGCAACAATCTCACCTCAGCAAAGGAGGGGAGAGCCTGTTCCTCAGGAGCTCTTGGACCGAGTATTGGCTGCCCACGCGTACTGGTCTCAGCATCAAGCTAAGCAACATGGCAAGCCTCAGAGCGGTACTCTGAAAATAGCGCAGGCACCAACAGATAAACATGGTGTTGAAGGTATCTGTTCATCATGATGTAAAAAGAAAAAAAAAATGTTTGACAAGAAACGGGAAAAAAAACTTGTACAAATCACGCAACTGTAATATTTCTCACTCACATTGTTCATTGCCAACTCTAGTGTCAAGAGAGGTTGGCATTTGTAAATGATTTGTTGGAATAAGATGATTCTAACAAACTTAATTGTCTCTTTTATTTAATTGATTCAATTTCACGAATTCACAATGTAGAAATTTGAAAGAAACAGAACAGGAATGAAGCTCTTTTATTTTATTGATAAATTTACAATTATTTTTCTGTGGATGTTATTGCCCCAATACTTTGTTGATGCTTTGATTAAGTTTTATGACACTGATGTCTAATCTGCTAGTCGGCCATAAACACATGAAGTAATAGGTAACATTACACTAATATGTGTATCTATATGCTCTAATTTCTCACCCCTATCAAACTTTACTAGCTTAATTAATCAACCAACAATTAAAAATTGTTTCCAAAGAGTTTAGGATTGAAGGGCTGTTTTTAAAGATGTAGATGCATTAACCGAAGTTTCATATTGAGTTGGTGCACTTTTATACATGACACGCAATAGAATGACGTTTGGGAACTTGAATTGGAAGTCAAAAGCTGAAAGTCTTTGCTTCAAAGATGGCTGTATGATTAAGGTTGGTACAACTTCCACGGTCCTTCAAGTTTTATTAGTTCTTCCCCGGTAGCTAGACTAAGACAAATTAGATAGGATAGACTTTCTATCCAACTATTATATGGTTGTTATGTTAAATTAATACTCAGCACGTGATCTATTCACATGCTCACCGTATAATGGAGATTAGAGTATACTATATATTTTATCCGATTGACCAAGCTAGAAATTCTGTGCTGTATTTGCTTATCTTTACTTTTTTTTTCTTTTTTTTTTTTTAAAAAAAAAGGACTTTTCCTATTGTTATTGGTTTGATTATTCCATAATCAAAACGTTATTGGTCTTTTAAATATAGGTAGCAAAAGACTCTTCTACATTGACGACGGTGACGCTTATTTGGTTTAAGTTTAAGCACGTTCTCTTTCACCGTCTTTGTTGTTATTATATGGACTTCGATTAAAATAAAATAAAATAAAGAAATCTACGGTCATTTTTACTTACACGGCAAGGCTTGTTCATGGATTTGTAGATAATGATAATTCTTGAACTATATAATATAATCCTATACATGTGCATAACTGATATATATTAATTTGTAATTGCACGTATTTTTTTTTTCTTTTTGGAATTACACCATTGATGCTTGATAGATGTAAAGCGGCCTAAAAAGATGTCACACAATCTAATACCCAAAAACTTAATAGAATAACATGATATGCGGTAGCCTTACTCAAAATTATTTGAATTGACCCTTAAACTAGTATGTTTTCTAAGAAAATCTTGAGAAGCTTTTGATTACATGATTGATTCTTTTCCCCTATGAAATGAGTTCATGATTGGCTTGTGACATAATAAATTGAAAAAGATAGAATAAAGTCAACAAATGCAAAAGTAAAGGGGAAATGGATATTAATGAATGGTAGAGTATAAAAATTTCTACAAACTAGTCTGGATGCAATCATGCAAGTCAAGAATCTAGATTGAAGGAGGATGCAAAAAAGGGGAAAAGATAATCTTCACAAATACTCTTTAAAATGACATGAATCACGATTTTTAGTTTTACTCTTAATTTATAACTTTTAGTTAAATAATTACACTAATAAAAGAGTAATTATTAAGAGTAAAAAATAAAAGTCAGACTCATGTACCCTAAATTCTCCATTTTTGTAAGTGTGTATGGCAAAAATATTCACCTGAACAAAAAAAAAAAAAAGAATATTCAACTCAAATGATTTGAGCCTGGAATCTTCAGCTAATAAAGGTCGGACACAGTAAGTAGTGGGCCAGACGTGGTAGTTGGGCCCCGCTTGTGCTCAGTTCTAGTCTATTAGGACGCTCAGAAATTAGAATTGTGGGCCATAACGCGGTCTCATTTAATGGACCAACCTGCACAACAAGGGACTGGGCCCATTAGTTCTCTTGACAAATACACTTCCAAGTGCATAGGTCAATAATTTTATATTCGTAATTTTTTAGTTAAATAATTATACTAATAAAAATATATTTATCAACAATAATAGGTAAAAATTTAGACTCATACATTTTAAAAAATAAATTCTGTAATTTTCTTGTTCTTTTCTTTCTTACCACATTGTTGAGGATATTAATGGCCTTAAATGTAAATTTTCTTTAGGATGGAGAGTGAGAAAGAGAGGGGTATTTTTTGGGTTAAAAAATAAGATGAATGGTTAAGATTAAAATATTTAAAGATTAATGGTTAAAATTAGTCTTGAATTTTTGTTAGTATTTTATTTAATCATTAGGGCATAGAAAAAAATACCAATTTTGTTCCTATAGAACCCCACATGAGACTGGCGCATCTCTATTTCTATCTATTTTTTTTTTTACAATTGCTGTTGAAATAGGGTTAATTACAATAGTTAAGTAAGTTCAGAGGGTTGATCGTCAAATAAAAGTTTAGAAGGTAATTTGTCTAAAGAAAACTTGTAGTAAATAATAGATTTATGAAACTAAATTAAATAAATAAGATATTTTAAACTATTTGATATAAATAATAATTTGTAAATGTTTCATTTACAATTGATAATAAAATAACTTTACGTGAAAAAAAAAAAATCGTTTTACCGTTGTAAAAAGAATATTTACATGAAAAAAAAAAAAAAAAACTTTTACTAGACGTAGGATGTTCTCGGCTAATAAAGGAACAAGTGGGAAGGAAGCTACAACAATGGAAGGAGAAAATGTTCTCCCAGGGGGTAAAGAAATTTTGATTAAGGCTGTGGCTCTCGCTATTCCTAATTATACGATGAGTGTGTTTTGAATGCCGAAAGCGTTGTGTGATGATTTACACCAGCTGATTGCGCGGTTTTGGTAGGGGGTGATGATTCAAAGCGCAAGTTGCATTGGTTGTCTTGTGATGATTTAATCAAGCTCTGCTTGCTAAGCAATGCTAGAGGTTAGTCCAAAAACCGGATTCTCTGGTAGTAAAGATCTCAAAGGCCCGTTATTTCTCTTCTCAGGATTTTTTTTTTTTACATGCTCGGTTGGGCCACTACCCATCTTACATTTGGAGAAGTATGCTTTGGGGTCGCGATCTACTCCGGATGGGACTTCGGTGGCGTGTGGGTGATGGTCGGAAAATCAGAGTTTTTGACGATTTGTGGTTGCACTGTCCGGTGTCATTTAAACTAATTTCTGCTGCAAATACGTATAATAAGGACTGGTATGTGTCGAATCTCTTGAATACTTAAAACGATGTTTCGATTGGTTGTAATGCGTCTTTGTTGTGTTCAAATTTTTTGGACACGGATGTGGAGATTATTCAGAGTATACCGGTTGGAATTCGTAGGTGTCAGGATTCTTTGATATGGCATTATGATGGCAAAGGCCAATACACGGTTAAATTCGGTTATTTTCGAGCCTTGGAGGATATAAGTATGGCGTTTGTACGGTATATCTTGGAGTTTGAGTGTGTTTTGGAATCAGTTGTTTGCCTTTCGTGGGGATAATATTGTATATCTTTTGCTGTCTATGTGGAAAAAGTTGTCTCATGATGATTTTGAGCTGTTTATTATGATTCTCTGGTTTGTTTGGAAGGATAGAAATGCTTATGTTCATGGGGAGAGGATCATGCAACCTGCAGACATCTTGCAAGCGGCAAGTATGTGGTTAAATAAATTCCAATTGGCACAGTTTGAGCAGCAAGTAATGGTGGATCACCCTGTCTCTTTCTTATGCACAGAAATGGATAGCTCCAGAAGGTACCAATCTAAAGCTCAATGTTGATGCATCAGGTCCTTCTAATAGCGGCTGGGTTGGGGGAAGGGGGCTTATTCTTGACTCTACAGCCTTAGCCTTTGTTCTTGGTGCACAGATTTTTGTTGGGGTAAGGGGTCTTATTCTTGACTCTACAGCCTTAGCCTTTGTTCTTGGTGCACAGATTTTTGGCTCTTTTTCTCTTTTTGCTGCTGAATATTTGGCGTTAAGGATAGTGGCTTGAGAGTTTCTTTAGTCGAAAGCAACTCCATAAATGCGGTGCGTGCTGTTAATGATTTTCCTTCTTGTCTCGCCGAATTTTTTCTTTTAAATGACATTTAAAATCTTGATGTCTGAAGTTGATAGTGGTACTTATAGTCATGTTACCCGTAACTATAATTTGACTATCCACATATTAGCTTAGTTTTCCTTTTCTTTAATTGAAGATCGTTATTAGTTGGAAGACTACTCGAATTGTATTGCTTTGATTGTAAGTACCGATATGGTTGATTCTAATTAATAAAGTTCCTTTCAACTTAAAAAAAAAAAAATTTGCTTGACACGTTATTTATTTTGTCAAATGTTATGTTTCTTTTCTTCTTTTTAAAGAGGACGGATTAAAAATAATGTCTGTAAATTCAAAATTTCTCTTCTTTTTAATATTCTCTTTACTAAATAACTTAAAATTCTCTGTGCTTCATTTAAGATATAGATTATGCATCTTTTAGCAATGCAAGGGAATAATAAATTTTGTGATTTTCTTGGATCCTTTTTAATTAAGTATGGTGAGGAATTATGGCTTCACTTATAAGAAATTATAAAAAAAAAAAAAAATAAAGTTATGCTATGTACTAAAAAGAACTCACAAATAGTCTCTCAAGTTTACTTTTAATCTCACTTTGGTTATTGACTTTTCTTTGAAGTTTTACTCTGTTTTAGTTTTGGTCTTTCTGTTAGCTAAGTGTTAAATATTTGAAAAAACATTTAAAATTTAAGGACTAAAACAATACAAAAAATAAAAATTAATTTTAAAAAAGTTCTTAAATGTTAGCTGTTTTTAATTTTGGTCTTTATTTACATAAATTATGTCAAACACCTACCTGACGGGAGGACTAAAACTGAAATAAAGTAAAACCTTAAAAACTAACCGTGAGATGTTTTAAAAGTGAGATTGCGAATAAATCTAGACTGTGTGTGGGATTAACTCAAAAAGAAAAGGTGCAGAGCGGAGATTTGACGATTCTCAAGTATTTTGTAGGATTCAAAAGAATAACATATGCATACAACTTGGCAGATAAGCTAGCAAATAAAATAGCAAAAAGGGGGACAAAAACTTCATATATGAGGATAACTTAGCCACATGCGACCACAAAAAAGTGACTGTGCATTAAGAATTGAGACATTAGTCCAAGAGGTTGAAAAGACTTTACATAATCTTTGATATAAACCAAATAGGGGCCTCATAAAAAGGTAATCGTCCAAATTCCACTTTCCAGAAAATGTCAAAACATCCTTATCTTAGTGATAAAAACACCAGTATCGAATTGAGATATGATAAATTGACTGCACATCTTCTCACAGGTGGAAAAAACTAGCTAATTCCGTCTTCTTCTACTTTTTCATTTATTTTTTATTTTTTATTTAGAACAATAAATTCGTCGTATTTTGTGATTGTGACCGTATGGTTTTATCAACTTGCTGAGATGAGTTGGGAAATAATAATAGGACTAATAATATGCAGAGAAAGCAGCATCAACTACAGTATATGTAAATATATATATATATATATGTGTGTGTGTGTGTGTGTGTGTGTTATTTTCCAAAAGGCTTTGAACATGTTCATGCTTGCATGCGTGCATTCCAGAAAATTGACACACACACACACATTTAAATCTAATCTAAATAATATATAAAAGTCCCGAAGGACTTTCGCGGTTTCGTCCCAACGTTCCGTCCATGAGAAGGAAGGGGCGAAACGGTTCGTCTTAATTTTTTTTTTTATTTCTTGTTTTTTTTCCTTGTATTTGCTTTTGGGCCCTCTTATTCTTTTCATTTGCTCATTTAGTTCCTGGTTTTAGTTTTTCCCCCACTCTTATTTAATCTTGTTGTCATTTTAGTCTATATATTTTATTTTATTATTATTTTAGTCCCTTTTACGTCTTTTTTTTTGCGGCTCTGTTTTTTTTTTGTCTCCTCTTTCTTTTTTCTTTTTGTTTTTTTTCCCTCTTTCTTCTTTGCTTGTCTTTTTAATCCATTATTTTTTTGTTTTCCTCTCGCCCTTACTTAGGCCTCGTTCATTTCACCGATTCGAGTTTTCAGTTTTAGGTTTCTACAGTAAAAAGCTCTCAGAAAATGTCACATATAACTTTTTCTGCTACAGTGAAAAACTCTCAGAAAATGTCACATCTCAGCTTGAATTGAAAACTCGATTCCACAAAGTGAACGGGGCCTTAATCTTATAATTTTAGTCCCTCATTTTTGTTTTTTTGTTTTTGTTTTTTTCCTTATTGCCTTTTCATTTATTTGTTTTTGGGTCCCCCTTCTCTTTTATTTGCCTTTTTAGTCTTTTATTTTTATTTTTTCTCTCACCCTTATTTAATCTTAACATTTTAGTCTCTTATTTTTGTTTTTTTCTTTCCTTCCTTTTTTTTTTGGGTCCTCCTTCCTTTTTTATTTACTCTGGTCACTCATTTTTGCTTTTCCTCTCACTCTTGATTTAATCTTATCATTTTTTTAACAACTATACATTATTTTTCTTTTACGTTGTTTTCCTTTCGTTTTTTGTTTTTTTTGTTTTTTTATCCTCTTTTCCTTTTTTATTTGCTTCTTTAGTCTTTTATTTTTATTTTTCCTCTCACCCTCATTAATCTTATCATTGTCTCGATATACATTCTTATTTATTTTCTTATTTTCATTTAAATATATATATATATATTCTCTATAGGGTAATCCTTTTTTAATGCACTTTTGTTAAATTGGTTTTTCACCTCATGTTCCCATTGAGATATAGTTTTTCAAAATAGCTCTCATTTAATTTTTTTTCTCTGCGCAATCCCTATTATTTTAGAAGTTATTCCTAACTAACAACTAACTAAGATCTCTATTAATTTAAAAAAAGTTATAACACAATAATAAAAAATTAATACAAGGATGCAACTTATAGAATTACCCCGCGTGCATAGCACATGGCCTCCACTAGTATATATAAATGGACGAATTTTTTTTGGCAATATAAATGGATGAATTTTCAATTGTTACATTTTCATAATGGTTACCTATCAAATATAAAAATTTAATCACATAGTGTAATAAGAATCTAATCTCATTAATTACCATTAATTTTTTGATCAACTATCAAATTTATTACAATTGTCAGATCAATATCTTATAGTTTTACTCGTTGATGGATAAATTTTAAAGTAACCATTAATATATATATATGTACATATAGTATAATGTTTTGCAAAGGAGAAAGCATAATAAATATTGAGATAAAATTATTTTGGTGGCCTCCGTTATATAACAAAACATCTCGTTAGTATCTTAGGTTTTTAATAATATTAAAACGGTATATTCATTTTTTTTAAAAATATTCTTTTGGTACTCTGAAACTAATTTTGAGACATAAAATATCCATTCTATTATTTTCACTAATTAACAATAAACTTGTAATTTTAAAAAAATATATGAAAATACTTTAAAACTAACAATTAAAAAAATAAATTAAGATGTTTTCAGAATATAATTTTAAAGATTATTTTCTATTTAATTAATGAAAATGACAATTTTTTTATAGTATTGAAAAAACATTCATTTAAATGTTAAGATATCATTTTAATATTGTTAAAACAATAGAATACTAATTAAATATGTTGTTATAACAGAAGTTACTAAAATAAATTTATCCATATAGCAACGCAAAACACATATATTTACAACTCGATCCTTGTATTCTCTCACCAACGGTCTTATACTTCCAATTTCCACCATTCATGAAAGTGTCTCAAATTTAAATTATGTCAAGCTAGCTATGTTGATTTAAAAAGTCTCGTGATAGAAAGGAGAATGAATACCCAATGAAATATATATTGCTGCAATATAGTAATCAAAATAAACTAAAACAGAGGGATTTGGCAATTGAGATAATGATATTTTTTTAACAACACTAATAAGGAAAGTCTACAATTGGAAGGAGAATCAAAAGTTGACATTTTGTAATACTTATTTTTAGTAGTTTCCTATATTTAAAAGATTTGTATTAAGTAAACTATTCTCTCCTTAAGTAGCTAATGTTGTATATGTATATATTGTTCGGCAATTAGCATCGTTTGTCACTAAATTTTTAGAAGTGATATTTTGGTCTTTTAACATTTAATTTCAGTACATTAGTTCTCAAATTACAGTTTGGTTCTTGATACTAATATCGATGACAATTTTAAAATTTAATAAAGATAATCATGTATTCATAATGTGAACTTAAAATTTTACAAAAAAAAGTTACATTAGATGCAAAATTTTCGTTTTCTTTATGTTAAAACCTATTAAAAATTATAATATTTTACTCTTTACAATAACTATTTATGTGAAAATTTCAGAATCATGTGATAAAGACGTGATTAACTGTGTTAAATTTTAAAAATTGTTTTTTAATTTTAGTATTAAGGATTAAAATTATCAAGAATAAAAAAAAGGATAAATAACTAATGTGCTAAAATTAAAAGTTCAAAGATAAAAATGTCTTTATGCTTTAAGTTAGGGAACTAACAGTTCCCAATAACCTTACGCAATACCTTACATGAATGGAAGTTTGGCGGAGCCATTCATCAATTATCTTCTTTCTCACTGTCTCATAAGATCCGTACCAAATAACTATAAATTTTTTCATACTTTTTTGTTACTATTTTTATGTGATTTTTTAACCATATTTTAGCTTCTTTAAAAAATGTGCACAACCGTAAGTATTCGCTATCATATATATCTCCGTATTTATATATATACACATTTATATTATATCATTTAACGCCCCCTAATTTAAATGTTAGAAACCATTTTTTTTACACTAGTCATAAGAATTGTTATTTTAATTGTTAGATGTATTATTGAACGATTTAATTATGGATGAGGGCAGTTTTACATTGATCGCTATAAATTTTATTTATGGATACTAATTATGAGGCTGTTAAAAAACTAAACTAATTATTAATATAATAATATTTTTACCAATACTAAAATAAAAAAAAAAACATATATTACAGTAGAAATTTTGATATTTTTTGTTTTGCTAAAAAAAAATATCCATCATCACATCTCTACTTAACGCTTTAAAAGAAATCTAATGAGACCATTAATGAGACGAGATGGACAATAGAAATTTAGATATATTGATCGTTCGTTTAGGATAATTTGTGCTTATACTTTTAAGTAGTAGAAAAAGATGAATATAAATTAAGGCTTTTTTATTAGTGTTTAGATAGTACTTAAAAAAGTACTTTTATATATAAAAAGAGCTTTTGAATTTGTTTGAGTAAAAAAATTAAAATCACAAGTGGACGTTTAGTTTATAGATTCAGAATTATTCTCGTTTTACGTGTGTATTTTGTGAGAAAAAAATACTGTAGAGAACTATGAATCATGATTCAGAATCATAGACGAATATATGAAACAAACGAACACATTGTTATAAAAAATAATGTAATAAAATGATATAAAAAAGATATTTAATTTATTGTTCACAAATAAAAAATTAAAAATATAAATAAAAAGATTTTTATAAGCATTTTTTTTCATAAACACTAAATCACTTTAAAATTATCCATCTAAATATTTTAAAATTTATTTTTAAATTAAATAAGCTAAAAATAATTTTTTTTTAAATCAATCAAAACTGGCTCTTATACTAGATCTTACAATACAGGAATATTTATTATGATAGTTTGTGGGAGAGAGAAGACTGAAGACGTAGGGAGGCGCCACCATGGCCTCTTGTCCATCATGCACGTTGGTTCGGCGCTGATAATGATGATTATCTAATTGATAATCATTAATACTTTTTTTTTTATAGGATGATAGTATTATTAGTAATTAGCGTCCCAACAAAAACATTATAATTAAAACCGCAAAAACCCCATTTTCATTTCATTTCTCATTTCCTATTAAAATGGGCGTGTCTCTGTCATTCCAGTCTCTTCGTTTCTGAATTCTCTGTCAGAACAATAGCAGGCGCTTTTCTCCCTTTTTTTATTTTCTTCAAAACTTTAGAGCCTTATTTTTTGTTCTTCCCCTTTCTTTCCGGTTGATCCAGGTATTTATTCTTTGTGTTTAGTATTTCCCAACTGCTTTACTTTCTGCTTAAACTCTTTTTTTGTTCACTATCCTTTAAACGGCGAATGAAATGGGTTATGGGCAGTATTTTCTGATTTTATTTAATTTTTGGTGAGAAAATGTGATCTTTTTAGCACAGTCATGACTTCAACGAACTGTATGAAGGGTGTTTTAAAAAAAAAAAAATTATAAATAGTGTGGTCGTTGTGCGACAGGAAGGTTTCTCGCCTAAAGATGTAATTTTTCTTTAACCCTTTTGGCTCCTGATTCTGACTGTGTACTCTTTTTTTTTTTTTTTTTGGTTTGTTTGTTTGTTTGTTTTTTTTTGTTTTGTTGGTTTGTTTTTTGTTTTCTTTGCTTTCTTTTTAGGATTGAATATTCTGGGTTGGGAAAAGTGAGCTGAAACCCGTGTGGGCAAAAATAAGGTGTTTAAGCTGACAAGTATATCAACTATTGGATTTTAGTAGTGTGAAAGGTATCTTGGAATCTAAGATGGTCATGGATCAATCATTTAATGGACTATATGGTTCTGATAAAGGATTGGAATTAGGTGGCGAGTATAGTTTCGAGTTGTCGAATTGAAACAATGATGATATTAAGTTAGGGGCCAGTGGTAAGTTTGTTGATCAAAAGTATTCAAATGTGCTCCTATTGCCTCTGGATCCAATGCACTTGCACAGAGATTTAGCCCCAAATCCGGAGGTGGGGGATGCTCATGAGGACTTTGATTTTAGTGATGTAGTTCTTAAGTATATAAGTCAAATGCTTATGGAAGAAGATATGGAAGACAAGACCTGCATGTTTCAAGAGTCTGCAGCGCTTCAAGCGCAAGAACAATCATTCTATGAACTTATCGGGAACAAGTATCCTTCGCAGGATGATGATCCGACTGTCCCTTGTGCTGATCAGAAGCATGATAGCCCGGATGGCAGTCTTGCTTTGCAAGATAGTAGCTGTAGTATTAGCAATAGTACTAGCAGTAGTGCCAGTGTGGTGGATCCTGGATGGAATTTTGATCCTGGTGACTATAAGTCGCCGCAGCAAGTTGCTTCTCAGTCATCTTATGGCTCTTCAAATGAGGCGGGGAATTTTGTTGATGGGTTTGTGGATTCTCCGATGAGCACTCTTAGGGTTCATGAAGCGTTTAATGAGATTGAGTCGGTTATGCAGTTCAAGAGAGGGTTCGAGGAAGCGAGCAAGTTTATTCCGAATGCTGAAAGTCTGATTGTTGATTTAGAGGGTTACAAATTTTTTTCCAAAGAGTTGAAAGACTCTAAGGACGTGACAGTTGATGTAGAGAAGAAATACGAGAGTGAGTACTTTCTGGATGGATCAAGGGGAAAGAAGCATCCTCATAGAGAGGATGTCGCTGTAGAGGAGGGGAGGAGCAACAAGCAATCGGCGTTTTGTAGCGAGTCAAATGTGAGTTCAGATATGTTCGACATGGTTTTGCTAAATTGCGGAAAAAATGACTCCTCTCTCCGTGAGGCTTTGCAAAATGGGGCAAGCAAGAATTCTCAGCAGAATGGTCAATCCAAAGGTACGAATGGAGGAAAAGCTCGCGGGAAGAAGCAGGGAGGTAAGAGAGATGTGGTGGATTTAAGAACTCTCTTGACACTTTGTGCACATTCTGTTGCGGCTGATGATAGGAGAAGCGCTGAGAAACTTCTAAAGCAGATCAGACAACATTCATCTCCTACGGGCGATGGGATGCAGAGATTGGCTCAGTGTTTTGCTGATGGTCTCGAGGCACGCATGGCTGGTTCCGGTACTCAGGTCTACAAAGCACTTATAGCCAAACCAACATCAGCTGCTGATGTTTTGAAAGCTTACCACCTGCTTCTTGCTGCGTGCCCATTCAAGAAGCTGTCAAACTTCTTCTCGAATAAGACGATTATGAATGTAGCAGAAAAAGCAACGAGGCTCCACATTATTGATTTTGGTATCCTGTATGGCTTTCAATGGCCTTGCCTTATACAACGCCTCTCGTCTAGGTCTGAAGGTCCTCCCAAACTTCGGATTACTGGAATTGATTTTCCTCAACCAGGTTTCCGACCTGCAGAAAGGGTTGAGGAGACTGGACGGCGCCTAGCAAACTATGCTGAGACTTTCAAAGTCCCATTTGAGTTCAATGCAATAGCACAGAAGTGGGACACCATTCAAATTGAGGATCTTAAACTTGACCCTGATGAGGTGATTGTTGTAAACTGCATGTACAGGCTGAGAAACCTACTTGACGAAACTGTTGTTGTAGACAGTCCGAGAGATATTGTTCTGAACCTTATCAGGAAGATGAATCCAGATGTTTTCATCATGGGGGCGGTGAATGGAGCTTATAGTGCGCCCTTCTTCATCACTCGATTCCGAGAGGCTCTATTCCACTTCTCTACATTGTTTGATATGCTTGAGACGAATGTTCCCCGCGAGATTCCTGAGAGCATGCTGATTGAGAGGGAGATAATCAGAAGAGAGGCTATGAATGTCATCGCATGTGAAGGCTCGGAAAGGATTGAAAGGCCAGAAACATACAAGCAGTGGCAGGTCCGCAATTTGAGAGCTGGGTTTAGGCAGCTTCCTTTGAACCAGGAGATCATGCAGGTGGCCAAGGACAGGGTGAAATCATACTACCACAAGGATTTTGTCATCGATAGAGATGGACAGTGGTTGCTGCAGGGGTGGAAGGGACGGATTGTTTACGCACTCTCATCTTGGAATGCCGCTTGATGGATTCACAAACCATAAGAATGTTCATCAAAGTGCGAGATCGAACGGTTACCAAAGTGGTCAACTTGCCACAGCATTCTATGTGATTGCCCCATGGATTTCTGATGCATGAAGTGAAGGTATTGAAGTGAAAAATGCAAGATCCTATATCTCTATTATGATATTGTTGGTGATTTATGTATCAGTAGTTTTTTGGTGTATTACATGGTTTTTAAACCATCTGAATATGTGTATTGTAACATGTTATGGTAAGCAGGTTTATTAGCATCGGAAGTTTACTTTCTGGGAACTTATCTTCATGCTTCAAAAGAGCTGTCTCTGAAGTGAGGTAGAGGAACCAAACATTTTATGCTTGAATGGAGAATTTGTTGGTCTATTCAATTGCCTAGATATGTTCTCTATCCCAAAAAATAATGATATGCAGTCTTCTGAATATTACAGAAAAGGCCTCACTTTTCCTGTGCATAAGTGTCGAATATAAGCAATGTTTAGGTCAGTATTAGCAGTATATGGTAAGTAGTAAAAGATTTGAATGAACTGCAACAGCAAAACAATCAAGAAATGTTTATCCGTAGTATCGTTGTTTGTTGCAGATGTTTTAGCTGGCAGTTTTGTTTTCTAAGCTTGATTTTAGGGCAACTGATCATATCCGTTCATGCGGCTGCGTCGACGGCTCTGACGGGGATGATGACATTGAATAGTGACATCTGTCTGGTTTTCTATCACTCTCAACCTTTAATGAGTGGACTTATTTATGGTTGTTCAATGTTCATAGACACTTGATGTTCGTTAGTGATATAGTTTATAAAATAAGGTGTCTCATTTTTGTTTTTGTTTTTGTTTTTTTGCTAGTAAAGGTCTCATTTTTGTTGTTCTTGTCGTTCTATTTTCTTTTGATTCATAATTGGAAAGTAGAACAAGAGGAAAGAGCCCAAGTGTATGCTCCCACTGGCGTGTAAAGTGAGATCAATCCTTTCTAAATGCGTCGTTTTGTGATAAAGTAAAAATTAAGCCAGCCGTTCAATCCCTTAATTCCACTTCTTTTGCTATCAAACACTCTTTTCTTTTCCCTTTAATTCCGGTAAATGTCGTTTTGTGATAAAGTAAAAATTAAGTCAGCCGTTCAATCCCTTAATTCCATTCACATGTTATCTTTTACTTCTTTTGCTATCAAACACTCTTTTCTTTTCCCTTTAATTCCGGTAAAGATGGATGCAAACTCCCCAGTTCAATATAAGTAAACATTTCAGTTCATACTAAGACGACATTATAAATATAGAACTGATGTGTATATATATATATATATATATATATATAGGAATAGTCTTCCGTCACCCACCTATAAAAGTAGTCCGGCGGACTCATCCGTGAGATAATCTATCGACAGTTTAAAGGCAAACGAGGGCAACCTATAAATATTAAAAAATAGTCCGCCACCTACGCTGACTCATTCACCCAAAAGAATCAATTTATTTATTATATTCAAATGCAACAAAAAATTAGGCAAATCAAAACAGTAAGGACACAATTGTCGTTCTAAATACTAAAATCTCAACTAGTATTTTGTTTTTTCTGAGCTACATTTAAGGGATCCAATTACAAAGAAATGAAGTTATTATTCATTATAAAAAATGAAATTATTTAACCTTCTAAACAATAACGTATAGACACCCCTCCCCTCCAAGATGCTAGTCTTTGGGATAGGAGTTCATCGAAATTTATACATTAAATTCCAACAAATATCTTGTTAAGAATGGTGTCTTTGGAAACTAACATATCTTATCATTGAAAATTTTACATTAAATTCCAATAAGTTATATTCTAATAATTCTAATAAATAGAATAATATTATGCAACAGTATAACCAAAAAAAAATTAAGTAATCAGATATAGTTTATATTGTATATATAATATCTTTTTAATGTGACAATATTATTTTAATATCATCAAAAGTTTAAGTATGACACCATTTTAAAACATGATGGTACTATTTTAATATTATCTAACGTAACGGGACCATATTTGTGTACGTATTCTATTTTTAGTCCAGTAATTTTGTAACATTACTTGGTTATTAATTTAGGCCTTGATTATCATATTTCTTTTATTTTCTTATGATGTACATCATCGGCTTCCAATTTTACAATATGCAATTCATTTTGTATTGTCCTAGTTGACCCATCTATTTCGATTTTCTTATTTTACCACGTCAAGGTTCAAGAATTGACTTCTTTAATTACTAATTTCTTCCTCCATACCTCCTAGAATTTGTGCCATCACATACTTTTGAGAAAAGTGAGTGATAACTATAGGTGGCTTCCTTATTCATCCATCTCATGTGTTGAGAAACCCATTAGAACGCCCACACATTCGAGTTCACGTTAATCCGGGGATACGTTGAGAAAGAATCGTGGTGTTCTTAGAATTTAAGAGCTTAAGACGGTGTTGGAGGAGTTCAAGATTTACGTCCTAATCGAGTGACGGTAAAATTTCCATTCTTCTCTGTAATATCTTTGTAGTTAAATTAACATGAAATAATGATCATATTAAATTTTAATTTATGTGATTCGATTGCCATGGCCGAAGGTCGACCATGGAAGAACTGCAACAGCCTTCAAACTGCTGCAAGTGACTGCACCTTCAGGTGCAGTCAAGGGTGCATGGGCTTTGCACCTCATGGTGCAAAGGCCCAGGCCCATAATGTTGTGCTCTGCCTCAGTAATGAGGCAAAGGCATTACATGCATTGGGATGGCTTTTTCAGCCGGCCCAGGTGTAATAAATGGCTGTTTTTGACAGCCCAGAAAAGCCCAAACCCAATTTTTTTTAATCTGCCAGAAAGGAGACATGAAGATGGAGAATACTTGAAGACAGAGAATTACAAGAAGATCTATTTTTGATGTAATTTTATTTTTATTATTATTTTGGGGTTGTAATTCTTAGATCTATGGAACCCGGCCAAGTTTTTCCATTTCGCTTGTATGTTATTTATTTATCTATTATGTTTGATACTAATTGTATTGTCATGCATCTAACATGCCATCTAGGATAAAAAGTGCCTACCTAGTTTATATGTATGATATGCATCATGCGCATTAATTATATGTATTAATTCTAAAATGGTTTTAGTAAATTGAATTAATTAAATGCGCCAAATTGTTGAGTTTAATGAGATTAAATTCAAAGTTATTAAATTTAATAAAATTAAATTTAAAGTTGTTAAATTTAATAAGATTAAATTTGAATAAATTTATTAGCAAATGGTTTTGCAAAATTTGAATAAGTCAAATGTGAAATTTATAAATTTAAATGTTAAATTTTAAAATTGTCATAAATGACTTATTATAATTTTAAAGTTGTTTAAAATTATTTAGATCTTAGTGACTTAAATTGTTTAAATTCACTAAGAAGTATGAAGCAAGAGTTGTTTTACAAAATAAATATACCATTTGTAAATAATGAGTGGGAGCGGGTAATATGCCAATATAACCCATAGGTCTCCACCGTCAGTACAGCACCGTGAGTAATTAATGAGGCCCCGAGAAGCTTTGATTTCGTCCTCCCTACGAAGGGTATTCATTAATTATAATAATAAGGTTGACTTCCAAACAGATAGGATCTCTAAGATGTATTTTAGAAGACCTACCCTACGGCGACAAATTCTAAGTTAAGTCTAAAAGATCTGAAATGGTGAGTTACACTCATAAAGAGATAATTAAATTGGTTAATTATTTTCTTGACCTAAATAAAAGGAAATGAATAAATATTAGAAGAATGAGATATTTTAGATAGTATTTATTAATTGAGATAGTCTCATTTTAATTAGCAATTATTTAACCTACCCTACGGCGGCACTTAATTGTGGTGATTAAAATTCCTTAGGCAATTAAACATGTATTTGTGTATTTAACATGTGCATTCATGCATCATATTTATATGCCTTAAATTTAGTAGTGATATTTATGCAAAATGTTGATTGAGTTATATTCTTTATTTTCAGCAAAAATGTCAAATCCTATTTTCGCACTTCTCGCTTCCCAAATTTTGAATGGTGAAAACTTTGTCAAATGAAAAAGCAACATGAATATCCTCTTGATCTGTGAAAACTACCATTTTGTCCTTAAGGAGGATTGTCCTCCAGTGCCTCCAATTCAGTAAAAATGTGAAATCCTATTTTCGCACTTCTCGCTTCCCAAATTTTGAATGGTGGAAACTTTGTTAGATGGAAAAGCAACATGAATATCCTCTTGATCTGTGAAAACTATCATTTTGTCCTTAAGGAGGATTGTCCTCCAGTGCCTCCGGCCAATGCCGCCAGGGCTATGACTGAGCAATATGATCGTTGGGTCAACGCCAATAACAAGGCCCGTTGTTACCTGTTAGCAATAATGAATGAAGTGCTGAGAACTCAGCACGAAGGCCATGCGACTACTAGAGAGATCATGGACTCTCTTCAGAGGATGTTTGGATGTCCATCTGATTCAGCCCGACACGATGCTATCAAAGCCGTTATGAATGGCCATATGAAGAATGGTTCTTCTGTACGTGAGCATGTGCTTAAGATGATTAATCATCTTAATGAGGCTGAAATTAATGGGTCTCAGATTGATGAGAAGGCCCAGGTTGACATGATACTGGAGACACTTTCTCCTGATTTTCTTCCATTAAGGAGAAGTTATCTGATGAACCAAAAGAATGATAACTTGACTGAGCAAGGTAAATCAGATTTACTGGTCATGGAAACATGTTTAGTTAAGAATGACTTCTCTACCTTGATAGTTGATTCAGGAGCGTCTAATCATGTTTGTACTTCTTTACAGATACTGGAAATGTCCAGGGATCTTGAAGAGGGATCTTTCCAGATGAGAGTGGGCAATGGGGCAAGGATTTCAGCGACGGCAGTAGGGACAGTGCGACTGTCTTTTGCAAATAATAAATATTTATTGTTAGACAATGTTTATTTTCTTCTGAATTTCAAACGGAATTTGCTTTCGCTTTCTAAATTGCATGAACAATTTGTTTCAGTTTCTTTTGATCTTTACTCTGTATCTTTATCTAAGAATGGAATTCATATTTGTTCTAGTTTTGTTGATGATGGTATTTACTTTGTTAAACCCATATTCAACGAAATGCTACAACCGAAATGTTCAAAGTCGCTGAACCAACCCCTAAAAGAAGAAAGGCTTCTAACGAAAATGAAACATACTTGTGGCATCTAAGGCTAGGTCATATAAACATAGATAGGATTGAAAGACTAGCAAAGGATGATCCTTTGAGAGAGCTAAAGGTTGACACTCTACCAGTTTGTGAATCCTGTCGAGAAGGAAAAATGACCAAGAGGCCATTTTCGGCAAAGGGTGAAAGAGCAAAGACACCCCTTGAAATCATATATACCGATGTATGTGGTCCTTTGAATGTCAAAGTGAGGGGAAGCTATGAATACTTCGTCACATTTATTGATGATCATTCAAGATTCGGATATGCATACCTGATGCAAAAGAAATCCGAAACCTTTGAAAAGTTCAAAGAATTCCGTGCCGAAGCTGAAAAGTAACT